AGTGAGGAAACAGACTCTTCGGTCCAACTTGTCCATGCCGACCATCACAGATATCCTATATAAATCTAGTCCCATTTGCCAGCACTTGGCCGATATCCCTCTAAACCCTTCCTATTCATATACCCATTCACATTCCTTTTAAATGTTGTAATTGTCCCAGCCTCCATCACTTCCTCTAGCAGCTCATCCCATACACACGCTACCCTCTGAAAAAGTTCTCTTTTAAATCTTTCTCCTCTCACCTTAAACCTATAACCTCTAGTTTTGGACTCCCCTACCCCAGGGAAGAAAAACCTTGCCTATTTACCCTATCCATGCCCCTCATGGTTTTATAAACCTCTGTAAGGTCACCCCTCAGCCTCTGACGCTCCAGGGAAATAAGCCCGAGCATATTCGGGCTTTCCCGAAAGCTCAAATCCTCCATCCCTGGAAACATTCTCATAAATCTTTTCTGAACCCTTTCTAGTTTCCCAACATCCTTCCTGTAGCAAGGAGACCAGAATTATATGCAATATTCCAAAAGTGGCCTAACCAATGTCCTGTACAGCCGCAACCTGACCTCCCAATTCCTATACTCAATGCACTGACCAATAAAAGCAAGCATACCTAACACCTTCTTCACTATCCTATCTACCTGAGACTCCACTTCCAAGGAACAATGAACCTGCACTCCACAAGTTCTTTGTTCAGCAACACTCCCCAGGACTTTACAATTAAGTGTATAAGCCCTGCCCTGATTTGCCTTTCCAAAATGCAGCACCTCACATTTATCTAAATTAAACTCCAACTGCCGCTCCTCGGCCCATTGGCCCATCTGCTCAAGTTCCAATTGTACTCTGAGGTTACCTTCTTCACTGTTCTCTACACCTCCAATTTTAGTGACATCTGCAAACTTACTAACATTTCCTTTAAGACCCCAGGATGAGTACAGGTCAGTCAGCCCAAAGTTCCAACAATTCACTCAGTACCACTTTGGTTGTGATTTTCCTGTTTCTCCCTCCCTTCTATTCACTGATTTGTAGCTATTTCTGGGATGTTACTTGCTTGTAGTACAGTGAAAATATCTGTTCAATCATTTGGGATCTCATTTTCTATTATTAATTCTCTAGTCTCACTTTCTACAGGACTGTTGTTAATTATGCTTTTCAAATACTTATAGAAACTCTTAATACCTGTTTTCATATTTCTGGTTCATTTTCTCTGTTACTCCAATTTTTCCTTCCATTTTAACTTCCTGGTTTTGCTTTTTACATTCTGTCCAATCTTTTGACGTGCCACCTGTCTTTGCACAGTTAAATGCTTTTTATTTAAGTTTGATGCTATCATAACTTTTCTAGTTAACCACAGAAGGAATATCATTTTCTTGTTGGAGTTCATCTCTCCTTTGTAATCTAGTATACCTCTTAAGTGCCTGCCACTGCATCTCTATTGACCTATCCTCGAGCTTAGCTTGCAAATGCACTTTATCTCACTGTATTTTCAAACCCTCATAACCACCTTTATTTAAATTGAAAAATATACATTCCTTTTGTACTGTATTTTTTTGCAGCTCAAATATTTCTGGGCACTTGAACCGTTTGATGACCTGTACATGTTTCCCAGGATGTGGCCAGCATTTACTACTCATCCCTAGTTGCCCTGAGCTGGTGGCACTCCCTTTTGATCAGTTTAGTCTGACTGAGTGCCTTGCTTGGCCCATTCAGGGAGCAGTTAAGAATCGAGCACATTGAGTTGGAGTCCCAAACAGCCCCACACTGGTTAAGGACAACAGCTTTCCATCCTTACAAGATATAAGTCAAACTGGTTCGTCATGCAGTTCCCAGCTTTTGATTTTCAGGTTCTGTACACTCAGTTCAAAATCGTAGCCAGGTGAAATTTGTACTCCCTGATCCCTGTGCAGCTTTGGACAATCCCCCAGTCACCCACATAAGCCTGTTCAGATACGTGTGTATAAATGATAACATGTCATCACTGGAGCCAATAGTGTGTAGTTGCTCAAACTCTCTAAGCACCTTGGGCTGGCGCCTCTCGGAGTGTAGAGAATCTGTGGAATTCAACTGTCCAGGCTGGGTCATTAAATATATTCAAGGCTTTGAGATGGAGGAGCGGTTTTAATCAGTAAGGGAATTGAGGGTTATGGGGAATAGGCAGGAAAGTAGAGTTGTGGATGATCAGAACAATCCGTGATCTCACTAAATGATGGAGCAGACTCGATGGGTTTGTTAAATGAGCATCATTACGTAGTGCCAATCTCCTGCTTTTTCCCCATACTCTTGCATGTTATTTTTATCCACATATTCATCCAATAATTTCTTGAATACCTCAATAGAACCTACCTCTATCCCTCTTCCAGGTAGTGCAATCCCCACCCTCTACTACTCACTGTGTGAAAAACAGTTTCCCTCACTTCTTGTTCTTTCTTTTAAAAGCAGGAACAGTTTCTGCCTGTCTGCTCTATCCAGCCCCCTCATGATTTTAAAAACTTTTATCATATCTCCTGTTTGCCATCTTCTCTCCAGGGAGAGCAGTCGCAACATCTTCAATCTATCCTCATCACTGAAGTTCCTCATTCCCAGGAAGCATTCTAATGAATCTCTTCTTCATTCCTTCCAATGTCGTTCCTATCATGTAGCAGCCAGAACTGTACACAATACTGTGGAGGTCTGGCACGTTGCCTTCTACATGATAAAGTAAACTTAAATATAAGATAATGATCAGTGGATCAAAGAATATGTTGCTAGTGAGAATGGTGCAGATGGAGTGGGTGAATCAGATGTAAATAATATATATTTAAGGGGAGATTTGATGCATGCACTGGAGAGAAGGTACATGGGACACAAAATAAAAAAATGTAATGAGACGAAGAGGAGGCATGAATGGAATATAAATTCTAGCACAGATAGACCAGTGAACTAGTTGCTTTAGATACCATGTGATTGACACATAAAATTACTGAGAACTTACTAATGAATGACTTACATTTATATGACTTTTCCTTAGCACCTCGTATGTCAAGGCACCTACCAGCCGATGAAGCAGTTTTGAAATGTAGTCACTATTGTAGGAAAACAGCACAGAAACAGGCCATTTGTTAACCAGTTCAACCTGGCATGTAGGCTTCACCAAGATGAAGTTTGGGAGAAACCTCTCTGTTACCTGTGGGGGGAGCTGTTGGTGTAACAATAATGTTACTGGATGAGTAATTCAAGCTAAATTCAATGAATCAATCTGGAATTGAACCCTGCTGTCTGTAATAGGGATCACGAAAGCATCATTGCCTGTTGTAAAAACCCATCAGGTTGACGAATGCCCTGTAGGGAATGAAGTCTGCTATCCTTACCTGATCTGGCCTGCATGTGACTCCAGACCAACAGTGATGACGTGGACTCTGAAATGCCCTCTGACTGACATAAGAAGGTGGGCATTAGGAGCAGGAGTGGGCAATTCAGCCCTTTGAGTCTGTTCCACTATTGAACATGGTCCTGGCTGATCTTATCCTGGTCTCAACTCCACTTTCCTGCCTGCTCCCCACAGCACTTTATCCTGTTTTGCATCAGAAACCTATCCATTCCTTTCTTGAATCTGTTGATTCTGCCTCCACTGCACTCCTGGGACAGTGAGTTCCACAGATGCACAACCCTCTGAGAGAAGCAGTTTCTCCTCTCCTTTTTGAAACTACCTTCTGTCGCTCTTCCTTTTGTTTGAGACTGTCCCACAAGGGGGAACATTTATTCAATGTCCACCTTTATCAATTCCCTTTAGCGTTTTATACACCTCAGTCAGATCCCTCCCTCATTCTTCTGAGCACCAGCGAGTACAAGCCAAAGGTACTCGATCGTTCCTCGTACAACAGCCCTTTCATCCCTGGAATCAACCTGGTGAACCTCCTCTGAATTTGCCCTAGTGCCACTACATGCATCCTCAAGTAAGGAGACCAAAAATAGACACAATATTCCAGGAGATGTGGTCTCACCCATGCCTCATATCATTGTAATGACACTTCTTTACTATTATAATCTGGTCCTTTTGCAATAAGGCAGCACGGTGGCTCAGTGATTAACACTGCTGTCTCACAGCACCAGAGACCCGAGTTCAATTCCACCCTCGGGCAACTGTCTGTGTGGAGTTTGCACATTCTCCCCGTGTCTGTGTGGGTTTCCTCTGGGTGCTCCGGTTTCCTCCCATAGTCCAAAGATGTGCAGATTAGGTGGAATGGCCATGCTAAATTGCCCCATAGTGTTCAGGGATGTGTGGGCTGTATGGATGAGCCGTGGGAAATGCAGGGTTACAGGGATAGGGTGGGTCTGGGTGGGATGCTTTTTGGAGAGACCTTGTGAACTCAATGGGCTGAATAGTCTGCTTCCACACTTTAGGGATTCTGTGACTCTAAGTGCCAAGATTCCATTTGTTTGAATTGGTTGAACAAGCCACTTCAGTATATCCTTCTGCATTGTAGAACAGTACAGCACAAGAACAGGCCTTTCGACCCACAGTGATGTGCGGAAATATGATGCCAAACTGAACAAATCCCTTCTGCGTGCCCTTGGTCCATATCCCTCTATTCCTTGCATATTTATGTGCTTATCTAAAAGTCCCTAAAATGCCCCTATTGTATCTGCCTCCACCATCAACTCCTGGCAGCATGTTCCAGAATCCTACCACTAAATAAAAACACTTGCCCCTCAAGTCTCCTATGAACTTTTCCACCTCTCTCACCTTAAATGTATGCCACCTGATATTAGACATTTCAAGTCTGGGGGCAAAAAGATTTTGACTGTCCACTCTATCTATGTCTCTCATAATTTTATAGACTTCTATCAAGCCTCGCCTCAGCCTTGCTGCTCCAGAGAAAACACCCTGAGGTTTTGTAGCCCATCTTATTGTGGGTGCGTATCCACTGGAATGTGGTTATTTCTCACTTTCCTGAAATGGAGTGATTGCCCGTTTTGTGTGGCGCTTTGGCAGGAGCTGGTACTGACCCTGGGGTTGTGTCTTTGCAGATTGAGCGGCTGGAGCTGAACAGCTTGGCCCCGTCGAGTGTGGTAGCCTCGGGCTCTGATGGCGGGGTCAGCGCGGAGAGCCTGGACGGTGGCCTGGACCCACAGAGGACCAGGGCGGCCATCGCCCAGCTCCAGCAGAAGGTGCTCCGGCTGACCGAGCAGCTGAAGGTGGAGCAGACGGCGCGCGACGACAATGTGGCCGAGTACCTGAAGCTGGTGGGTAGCGCAGACCGCCAGCAGGGCAGCCGTATCAAGCACGCCTTCGAGAAGAAGAACCAGAAGTCAGCCCAGGCCATCCTACAGCTGCAGCGCAAGCTGGAGCACTACCACCACAAGCTGCGGGAGGTCGAGCACAACGGCATTCCCCGGCAGCCCAAGGACGTGCTGCGGGATGTGCAGCAGGGCCTGAGGGGCATGGGTGCCAAGGTGACGGGCTTCAGCGAAGGGGTGGTAGGCAGCATGAGGGGCGGCCTCTCCAGCTTCTCCCAGGCCACTCACACAGCTGCCGGGGCGGTGGCCGCCAAGCCCCGGGAGTTTGCGTCGCTCCTGCGTAACCGGTTTGGCAGTGCAGACAACATCCCGGGCCTGAAGGAGCCGCTGGACGAAGGCCAGGCCGAGGAGTGCCTCAAGGCCCTGGGCATCTGTGGCCAGCTGCAGTTCGGCTCGCGGTACGGCAGCGAGGAGGAGTGCTCCAGCGGCACCTCGGGTTCGGGGGCCAACAGCACGTCCGGGGCCCCCCTGGAGCCGTCCACCTCGAAAACCAACACCCTGGAGCTGCCTGGTTCTGGGTTCGAGGGAATCTTGCAGGAGTTTCACCAGGTGAAGGAGAACCAGGCTCGACTGGAAGAGTCATTTGACAGGCTGAAATCTCACTACCAGAGGGATTATACCCTCATGCTGCAAACACTACAGGAAGAACGATACAGGTACAGTCTGAGGCTGCAGGCACACCAGCAACTCCCCTCCTCTTAGTGTGAGGCATGTTTACTCTGCAAAAGATTTGTATTTCATTCCCTGTCTGCTGTGTCTGTCTCTGTGTGGCTTGTGTGAGATAATGCCTGGCCAGTTAGCCTGACATAAGCTAGTCACAGAGATCTGCAGCACAGAAAAAGGCCCTTCAGCCCATCACGTCCACACTGATCGAACACAACACTTACCTATTCTAAATCCATTCTCCAGCACTTGGCCCACAGCCCTGTATGCTTCGGTATCCCAAGTGCACGTTTAAATACTTGCTCAATGAGATGAGGGTTTCTGTCTCTACGACCCTCACAGGCAGTGAGTTCCAAATTCCTACCAACCATGTGAAAACATGTTTCCTCACATGTCCTTGATACTTCCAGCTCCATGCCTTAAATTGATGTCCCCGGATCATTGATCCCTCCATCAAGGGGAACATGTTTGCCCTGTCTATGCCCTCATCATTTTATACATCTCCATCACGTCTCCTCTCAATCTCTCCAATGGAAAACAATCGCAGTCCATCTCATCTCTCATCATAACTGAAGTTCTCCAACCCAGGCAGTATCCTGGTAAATCTCTGTACCCTCTCCAGTGACCCCAGACTGTGAGTGAGAGAGAGAGAGAGAGACCGTACCCTACGACTGAGAGAGAGAGAGATACACACCAGACCCCCAGACTTAGAGAGAGATGACGTATCCCCAGACTGAGAGAGAGAGAGGCGGGTGCTCCCAGACTGAGAGAGAGGGTACCGTCAGACTGAAAGAGAGAGAGACAGTGAGAGACGGTGCCCCCAGACTGAGAGAGAGACTGGGAGAGAGAGACGGGTGCCCCCAGACTGAGAGAGATGGGTGCCCCCGGACTGACTGGGAGAGCGAGAGGCGGGTGCTCCCAGACTGGGAGAGCGAGAGGCGGGTGCTCCCAGACTGGGAGAGGGAGAGAGAGAGGCGGGTGCCCCCAGACTCAGAGACAGAGAGGATTCCTCCAGACTCAGAGAGAGAGAGGGGTATGGTACTACCAGCCTGAGAGAGAGACTGTAGCCCCAGACTAAGATTTGATGAATTCAACTGCTCAGAGACCAGTGGCAGAGGAAAAGGATTTGGAGGAGGTCAATAGCTTGATTGTCCTTTCTCGCAATGTGTGTAACTGTCTGTCCTCCTCCTGTTTCTTGCCCTGCGTCTGTCTACCCTCTCTGTGTCCCGTCTCTGACTGTCTCTCTCCACCTCTTTGCCCTGTCTCCCTGTGTCTGGTTCTCTAGCTCCCGTTCTAAAGTGAAATTGAATGGCTTTGTGTGTGCGGTATTGTTGTGAAGTGAGACGTACCTCACTCTGCCGATGTTTAACATGTGATAGGTGTGAGCGACTCGAGGATCAGCTGAATGATCTGACTGAGCTTCACCAGAACGAGATTCATAACCTCAAGCAGGAGCTGGCGAGTATGGAGGAGAAGATCGCTTACCAGTCTTATGAGCGAGCCCGAGACATCCAGGTCAGTGTGCAGCCTGTCATTGTATACAGTCAGATCAGCAATCACTGCGGAATTCCTCATGTCAGCCAGCACATTGACAGTACGATGGTATCAACTATCTATCACCTACTGCTTCCAGCCCAGAATGTGAGTGCCTGACTCACTAATACTCTGCTTACCCCCTTTCTCCTTCCCCTCCATTCCCTACTCCTCTTCAGACCTGTAACTCGCAACGCCTGTGGGGTGAATGGGTTTCTCCCTGTGTGTGTGGGGTGGGGGGTAAGTGGGTTTCTCCCTGTGTGTGTGGGGTGGGGGG